ATGTCCAGTCAACTAATCTTTCTATAATTTTTCATCTTTCTTATAGTACGATTGCTCAAAATTTACGAAAAGTTTTCACGTAAAATTTACATGCAAGATTATTTCCATACGATAAGTTTAGCTGAAACTTATGAATTTTGTACTTCGAAATTAATTCATAATTTCTACGTACAAATTTGATTAGCTTATATTTTGTGCTTTGAAAAAATTTCTATTCACTGAACACTACTAATTAATGTAAACTTGTATGCGTGAATTTCAACCGACAATTCATTTTGAATTGTGAGTGAATTATTTTTTTAGCTTTATATTTCTTCATGGGTTTTTGTTATGCAAGTAATGAGAAAAGGAAGATGTAACTGATTAGTCATAGATATATATGGTTGAAGGATTTTTTAAATGAATATCAGCCGATGGTTTCGCGAGATTACAGGCAGAAAGTCCGTACACGATAAATCAGAACAATGTTCAAAGGTCGGAATGAATTCTATTCGAGATATATTTCGCACTTTTCCATTTCCAAGAATGCTTCTGTAGATTCATTCTAGAAGTTTGAATCTAAGAATTAAGTTTCAGTTCTATTTAAGTTTAAGTTTTAATAATTTTACTTTTTTAGTCACTGCTGTAATCTGCGGTATTTTTTGTCGGTCACTGCTGTAATCTGCGGTATTTTTTGTCGCTGATGTTCATCAATATTGTTAAAACTCTTTGCTACTAATTAAAAGCGAACATATTTCATATTATCAAACACACAATAAGCAAAAATTATCTAACGTTTAAAAATGACAATGAATATTACTTTTCTACAACATTTGTCTAATATAGTTCAAAGTATAGAATGAATGTTATTTAATGAATGTATATTTGTATAGAATTAATCGAAAAAGGAAATATTTTCAATTTAGAACTTTAACTTTTTTCTCATCTTTTTGCAGACAAAATTTGCATACTGCTGCATTTATTGCTGTAGTCTCATGTAAAAACTTGTCGACCGATTCAAAGTTCTTAAAGTTACTTGTAAATACTTTTGCCAACAATGATACGCTAGATCAGATCAAGATTTTTCAAGCATCACAGCAATAATTTTAGAACCAGCTAGAGGAATGGTCAAATTTAGATTTTCCATTTGCTTTATATTGCGTTTGTCTGAAAACCTTACTTCAATAGATACGTTGAGTGAATGCTTTTCTATCTACGTTGAAACACTTTGCTGCTATTTTGGAATTGGAATTTGAGTAAATTTATATATTCCACCAGAAAAAAGAATTGCATAATAAAAAACAAATCAATCGCAAATTCATTCAAGTACAAATCGGAAAGGGAGAAACTGACTTATCCTCCGAATCACCTCAGATCACATCCACTCAGTCAGTACTTCCTCGCATCTTTACAGTCACTGTCAGTTTCCATACTTTGTGCTTTGTTTCACTTTTGTTCTCCTTTAACTCTCAAATACATGAAGATTTTGTCAACAACAGCTGTGAATTGTCTTTTACATTGATGAAAACTTTCAAACTCTGTCTGTGACTGATTTCTATGTTAACACTTTTGCAGTTTCAAAATTAATGGCCAAGGTCATTTTTATTGTTTGTTTTTTTTCATTAATTTGGAAATTAAATACCATCAGAACGTTAAATGATGTTGACTGATTTTATCTACGCAGAAGGCAAAGCAACTTCTGCAATTCTCCTGAAAAGATTATTCTAGATCAACTTCAAATTTGAATAGAATTGCATCAAAATCAAAAATGAACTGATCAATCATATCATTAGCGGCGAGTGATAATGGATAACAATGGATAACAATGAAGAATAACTTTTGACAAGTAGAAAAGTGTATAATACTTGTGACTATACTTTTCTTACTAATTTTTGTACATTTTAGTAATATAGCATCTATTAGCTTCTTTTAATCTAACTGCCATTTACTGCTAAATAAATGCTAAACAAATTAAAAGTGAAACATAAAGTGAAACATAGAAACAGCGATTGTAAACTTGCAAAGTTGTACAGTTTCCATTCAATTTCTCATAACATTGCTTATCTTTTTTGAAATTCAAAAAAATTAACCATTTATAAGTTTGAATGAATTTGGGATTAAAATTGAAATTTTGGAGTTTAGTGCACTTTTCTAAACAAAATATGAAACATAGTAGCATTTTTTCGCAAAAGTGCCACTGTAAATTTACAAATAAAACGATTAAAAGTGAATATTTTTCGTGTTTTCTAGTCGTCCATATTCTTACTTCTATAAATTCAGTTTCGACGTGTGTGCATAAAAGTATCACATCATGTCGTTGATAATTGACACGTCCTTAGTCGTTTTTACGCTAAAATTGCGTAGCAGCTATTTTTTAAATAATGTCTTCTTAACGTGAGAAAAAAAGACAGGACAGTTAGAGAGTGAGTGCGAGACAATTTAGAAATCATTTCGTCCTTCGATTTTTATAATTTTTTTTCCATTTTTTGGAATTTTATAATCGATTGAAAACGAACTTTTAAATCTGTCCTTTTCTGTCGTGTGTTTTGTGCTAACTTCACGTCTGATTCCCTCAGCTAATCCTATTAAAAATAAGCCTTACTTAATCTGCACGCTTATTTTTAGATCAAATACCACTTGCATGCTCTTTTTTTTGGATTTTTTACCTTTAGTTAGTGAAAATAAATTTATTAATACCATGCGAACGCCGAATTAGTCATCAAATATATGTTTGTGTAACTACCATCAATTTTACATAGAATAAATTTTATTCAAATTTCGAACTGATTTTAAAATTTCTCACTCTCATTAGTTTGCTTACCTGAAAGAATTCATGAAATTTGTAAATATTTTGTACAAGTGCTAATCTCATACTTTCATTCATTTTTTATTCGTTAACAAGTCTCTTATTAATCAAAGATTATAAATGTGATTATCTCTATCAGACTCAATTAGCTTTAGCTGAACTTTCAATTTAGTACAGTGGGAATCTTATCCCTTCTTCTAAGGAATCTTCAATCTGCCATCAATAAACGACCTTGCGATGTAGTACCGATTAACAAATATTTACTTCATTATCGCTTGGAAGAACTTTGCATTCCCTCAAATCACAGCCCACACAGAATTCACTGCTTCCGAAAATTCTGCATCTTTGATAGGAATTTTGGACATATACTCCCATTGTACTAAATTGTAAACGAAATCTCTGCAACACTATGTTATTTCAATAACATCATAAGTTTAATTCAAAGGAAATAAGCAAAAAATTAACTTTCAAGCTATTTGCGTGTGGATACCAAGTGGGACCGGAATCAGTAATAGTATAGAAATGATTTACAATGAATATTATGAAGCTTCAGAGAAAAGGTAGCTTGCGGTACTAAAAAAATGGAAGTAACAAATTTTCAACTGCAATAAATCATAATTTGTTTTATCACGATTAAGACATTTAATACTGCATTTATCATCGTAATTAAGAAGATTTGACAGCATTATTATCACGATGTTATCAAATGCTGATGATTACTGAGCTTGGTAAACTAAAACGTATTCTATACTCTGAAATACGTCTTTTAAAACGTTCTTAAGTGACGAAAAATTTTTCTCCGAATGGAACAATTGAAAAAATTGTTTTTCACAAAAGAAATTGCCCTCATTTGATCGTTTTTGCATAATATACAGAATTTAATTCAGTAAACCAACTAAGTTGCTCATTCTGTGCTACTAAGCAATAAAAATAGGAATGCAATAAGTTAATCAGAAAATAATTCTCAAATAATGCATAAAATTATTTTTAGCAACTTTGCCATCCGTATTTTGCGTTACTACAAAAATTATTTAGTGATTGCTAATTTATTGTGATCGTTTTCAGAATATACGCCTTCAAGTCTCAGTAATCTTAGCTTAGCACTCAAATTGGTTCACTGCAAATTTAGCATCTTTGATTTCATGTTTTTAATTTGCATTCATATTTTCACAGTTTATGAATGATTAATTTTGGCAAAGAGTATTACCTCCAATTACATCTCCGTCTCGCTGCTATTTTGCATTTCCTCGAAAGACTTGATTTATTTAATTTCGTTCGTCTCTGTGTCTTAGCTGCGTGTCATTGCATTTTACATACAATACTTTTTACCTTACTTGATTTGTTTTGTACTGAGTAGTACTGCTGATGAATTACTGAGTCACTTCATTTCTTGATATCAGCACAATTCCAGCACTTTAACTTTGATTGTGACCTGTAAATTAGCGTTTTTTTGAAGTAAATTTCTTCATTTAAATTTACTTACTCTTTTTGCCCTCTGCCAGCAACAGAGAAAGAATGATTGATTGATCACACCGTATCTGAGAATACTTTTTGCTTCACTAATGAATTAACAGAGAAATCCACAGTAACGCCAAAAATAAGTGAATTTACTCGAGCGTTTCCATCTGATTCTTTACTACAAAACTGATTCAATTGTGAGCTTTGAGAACTGAAAACAGACGAAGGAAAAAATTTTGTGCTTAGTTAGCCTTTCACTTCCAATTTTTTATGTGATATTTTTAATATGTTTAAGTCAGTACAGAAAATGTTTCCACGCAAATCATTTGAAACTTTTTAATTTGCATTTTTAGCACTATCGAATTAATAATTCGGCCGTTATTATCCAATAAAAGAAGTCTATTCTATTTTCTCACAGTTTCTAATACTAATACTTACAGCAAATTAAAAGAATATATTATCAGTTTAGTTAACAAAAAGTGTCGTTTGCCTCTAAAAAATAGCAGTCCTACTCCAAAATTTCTAAACTGTCACAAAGCGTATTTTCACGTGAAAGGCTTCCAAGTCACAACGTCTCTATTTTTTTAAATTAAACTTCACGAAATTCACGTTTATGGTTTACAGTTCTCTGAAAATAAAAACAGATCTAAAATAACCCCACGTAAAAATATATTTCTTTAAAATGACAAAAGAATAGCTAAAATTAATTCAGCCTATTCAATTAATCATTTGGGAATAATTGCAAAACTTCCAGTCAATGAACGGAAATAACGAAAAAAGCTTTCCAACAGATCAGTTGCGAACGGTCAGCAAATTCGCAGGAGAGGAATTTGGTGTTGGCAACATGAGAACTGTTTTTGCTGGCGCTTCAAAAGGTCACTTTTTTTCAAATTTTTTACATAAATATGAAAAGGTACGAAAGCAAAACAGTTTATTAATGTTGATAATGTGGAGTGGAATGTGTGTTTTACGCTTCTATTTTTGACAAAATGCTAAATGGCACAAATTTGCGTCTCTGAGTAAACTTAAATTTATTCTTGTAAAAATAACGATCTCCAGAATCTATTAAGTGAAGGTTTTACAAGTAAGCAGCAAAACTGTTAAATGACAATTCTAAAAATCTAATTTCAATAAAACAGCGTTGCATCTCAATACATTTTTTCAGATTATCAGTATTAAAATTGAGATTAATCTTTCAGATACTCTTTTTGATTTTGCTTTCAGTGCTTAATTATGTTTTTTTTCAGACAATATGAAACGAAAAGATCGCGTGATCTTACTTATTGGATCCACACGAAATGAAAAATCACGTCTGATTGATTGTATGTGTAATTATTTTTATGGTGCAAGATTTGATGGAAAGCGATTTAAAATTGCCGATGAAGTAGGAATCACTATTGTTAAAAGTAGTAGCAATTTTGCTAAGCTGATGTCTGTCTGATACCAATTTTGGCAACATGAAGTGTAGTTTTACTGAAAAACGAATTGACTCTTGCAGGCGTTTGGTACTTTAGTCAGTGATAGATTTGTCTTCTAATTCGTCAGAGATTTAACAACTAAGAATCGTTTATAAAAAGTATGAGAGAGCAAAAAAAATCATAGACTTAATGAAATAATAATGATCTTAATTTCTAAAATTGCTTTTTCAACATTTTAAATTGTCCCAGTGAAAACTGAGATTAATCTTTCTGGTCCACTTTTTAATTTTGTTTTCAGTGCTTAATTATGTTTTTTTCAGACAATATGAAACGAAAAGATTGCGTGATCTTACTTATTGGATTCACACGAAATGAAAAATCACGTCTGATTGATTGTATGTATTGTATGTGTATTTCAGATATTCGATCAAGGAAGTACTCCACTGAAGTCAATTACTAAATATGTATTCAACGAAACGGTCATGCCATTTCGACCAGTAATTATAGACACTCCGGAAATTGATAACGACAGGTAGAAATGCCTTCAGTAACTCCTTTCTGAAGACTGACAAAATTAGAATGTGATTATGTTACATCTTGACCACTTTGTCAGTTTTAATATGGAAATAACTTTATAAATTTAGTGAAGACTAAATTTTAAGGTTAATACGAAAAACTTTTTTCATTATAAAATTCACTAAAATGGGAATTGAATTTTTTTTTCAAAATCCATTTCAGTTTTGACTCACATCAAATTAAGAATATTTCGCTTCAAAAACCTCAAAATTCACAAAACCAGTATGCTGTTTTCATCGTTACTTACATCAATCATATGCTGTATACATTTAGAAAAGTAACCCACATATGATCTTAATTCTTCTAGCAACTTTGCAGTGGATTATCAATGGGAACAGCAGTAAACCAAATGTTGCATGAGATTTTTATGCAGAACTGTCACATTCATATCAATGCAATAACACTAATCTTGCAGTATGAGGAAGTGATGAAGCAATCAAGAATTAAGGATCAGAAGGAGCGTCCAAAAGTGAGTTGGCAACAAGTCTACTCAGAAGTTAATTGCGTTTCTGGCTTTGTCAGAACTCATTCATTACTTTATCCATTTTACAGTTTCCCTTTCGATATGCGTCACTTTCAGCTGATCAGTTTAATTCCCATGCAGCTTTTGCCCAGTACAATCTTACTTTTTTCATCAAGCGATGAAAAACGACCAAGCACGTCCTCCATCAAATTACTTCTACGTTATTTGAATTTGAACTACACTAAATACTATTTTTTCAACGGACGATTCTTGCAAGACATTAAAGGTTAGAAAAGAGCTTTTTCTCTGCCTTTTTTGGCACTCATTCATATTCATAATTCATTTCCGTGATTGATAGTAATTGTGTTCTTTGAAAAAAGCTGAGCTTACTTTTTACTTATCAGTCCAAAAACACATAGTTAGTAAAAGTAAAGTGCTGCAATAAATTTTCTCTTACGACCCTAAATTATGCATACAATATAAGTAAAGTTAGTAATTTGAACAATACATATCAAAGATGAGTGTAGAAACAAATTTCTGGAGTATTTATGACAACTGTTGTATTATAAAAGTTGTAAAAGCAAACAGTAATAATCGATTATGCTTCTTATGACGGAAAAAAGTCAACCAATTCAAATATTTCTAACTTTTAATGCGTGAAGACAAGGAAACAACTGCACAGTATTTATTGCATCAATTTTAGTAATTAAATGGCTGAATTTCATGGCAGAATACAATTTCGTTGCAGAAAATCATAAAGCAAAGTTAATTACATTCAGAATGGCAGAATCCTTTACCCTGATTTGACCTGAATTGAATTCGTGTTTTCCATGCAAGTCATAACTGCAACTACCTTTTGCACAGTCTATCTATTAATTCTAATATACATAGATGCCAAAACAATTTTTTCTCACTTGCGTAGACGTGACTTTACTTGCTAGAGCTTTTCAAATCTAGCAGTAATCAACTAAGCAAACTTAAGCAAATGCATCTTTCATCAGTTTTCATAACTCTTCGGCAGTTGTTAAAATGGCGGGCGGTTCCATTTTTGGTGATTGATCAGAAATGAAATAAAATTATTGATCATTCATTCAGTCGATTGCATTATTTGTCGTTTGTCATCCGTATTGTTTGATATTTGTCGTTATCATCACTGCCATTTTTGCTCGGAAATTGGTCACTGCAACAATCAATGGCTAGCTTAGATTTGAAAAAATTTTTCTCTTCAATGCCTCGTATTATAAAGTAGTTTGCATGCTAATTTATGCTTTAGCACTGAAAATGTATGGCCTTGTTGTGGAAGAATTGTTTATTTGTGACGAAAATGTCGATATTAATGAGCGGGAAAAATTATCAGAAAAAAATTTCAGTTGAAGACAAATTTCTTCTCTTCTTTGCCTTTTAAAAAATAAATGCTTTGCATTATGAAGACATGAATATGTGTAGGAATCTGGAGAGAATAGTTGATATTGAGACTTAATTGGAAGTAAGCGATAGTGTTATCAGCTAACACTTGCAGCTAAGTATTCATAGTGATCGAATCACAAAATTTCTTATAATTTATAAAATAGAACTGATTGTTTGTCTGTATTGTTCTTTGGAAATATTCAAATTTGAAATTTCGATTGAAGGATAGATCGCGCCAGAAAAACCGGTCTTACTGTCTTACTGTCTTACTGCTGCAGTGCAGTGACATTGCCATGCATACGAATGTCTTATGATTGCATCGAAATTGGGCATTTTGTTTGACATATAAACAGTGCTTTAGCAGTTTTTTCAAATTTTGCACTTTGTTTGAAATGTTATGAAAAAAATATTTGAATAATATAATTATAAACTCAGTTTAAAATTCAAAAAATCTAGTTAGTGATCATTTTTAATCTACTAATTACTAAGAAAACACAAATAATCTTTTTGTAAGATCATTCTAGTCTGTTCTAATTTTCTAATAACAATTATGATTTAAAGTTTCATTTTCCAAGTTTTCGATTAATTGGAAGTGAGATTAATATGTCGTTTTCAATCAATGACATATTATACTACTTCTGATTATGATCAAAATTTCAATCATTTTAAAATCTGAAGTATGTTCATTTCATTTATTGAATTATTTCAATTTCCAAGATTTTATTGTCAGTTCACACTGATAAAGTTAACGTTTTTAGCTCATAATGCGTTATTTTAGAATTCATATAAAATGAATAGCTTCACTTCGGTGCAATTTATTATTCAAATATATTGTGTGTAGTGAAACTATGTCATAGTTTCATGTTCATTAAATTACATTTGAATTATAATCTTTTGCCATTGCTTTACTCTGATTTAATTTTGATTGATTTATTCTGATATAATCGTACAATTCATTTTTTCCACTTATAATACTTTATTTTAGTAATCATTAATATACATGTCTGATCAAGCAAATTTGCATAACTTTCTGCTCATAAGCATAGCATGAAGTGCATCAAGTTCTTTTATATCAGAAAAAGGAGTAAACGATGAAGAAGCAAAGAGTAAAGGCAAGTCAAGCTGGAATTTAACTATGACCGAATTGGATCGTTTTTTTGAACAAGTACGGCGTTTAAATCCTCAAGGAATCACTACCAAAAGCAAGCAAGTTCCAGCGCTTACTGTCTTGCGCCATGATGGAACTATTTTCCCACGATTAGTCCCTGATGAGAGAATGCAAAAGTAAGGCAAAAATTTATTAATTAATCTTTGATCAGATTTGTGCCCATCGTTTACCTGCGAAATTTGCATATTATTCATATTATTCTCTAAATATTTAGCAAATACGATATTTCACGAATTATATTTTCAGAAAAAGTATAATAAGATGAGAAGTTTTTTCCACCTTAATGTTCCAATTATTTTTCGCAATTTAATTTTCAGTTTTAAGTTGCTTTATAATTTTTCAAGCTTTTAATAAGCTCATAACTTAAATCATTCTTTAAATCTGTGAGAAACAGTAAATAGTCTATTGTAGTTTGAGCTCATAATTTGATGCGTCCTTTCTCATTTATCATTATCAATTTGATAATGATTTAAAATCGCAAGACCAGTGTCGCCTCATTAGTCCAAAAAAGTCGCATATGAAAAAATTGTAAATTGTGAAATAGGTTGGAAAGACTGTTTAGCTTCACAGAGTACTTACTGCAATATTTAAAATGCAGTAAGATACTTATGCCTTTCAGTACAGTTATTACAGATCTTTTTTTCACGAACGAATTATTCCTGTCAAATTGATCAGCCAATCACCAGAAAAATCAGTGGCAATGGATACGCCACATTCAGCCAGATCAGTCTTTGTGAAAAACTTGAATTTGACAGAAACGCCAATTAGCACACCTGTGATTAAGCGCTATGTTTATGATCCGAAAACAATGACGCATAAAGAGTATATAATTAAATTACAGCGAAACGGAGACTTTCCGGCTCGAGAATATGTTGATATGCAAGCTGTTAGCATGCGCGCTCAACCTATCAGTGAATAATTTTGCTATTTTATTTAAAAAAGTTTCATTTTTTATAAATTTGATGTAGATTAATTGTATTCATTTGAAAATTGACCATTTAAATTCATATCAGTGAGAGATTGTTATTTTAAGCTTTGATTTTTTATAGAAGCAATTTTTTCACTGCTCTATTAACTTTGTGCACTTCTAATTTGTAATAGTTTGTAATATATCAGAATATGATTTAGAAAGGTAATTATAGTATGATTAATGTGATAAATATGATTGTAAGAAATTTTGATCTTATTAATCAATAATCATTATTATTACTGAATACAGATAATCACTTGATGTTTGATCTGCGCTCTTTTTATGTCATATGTTCGATGTAATAATTTACAGCAGCAGCAGCATCGAAACGTAAAATACATGAAACATTAATCAATGATATCCCGCTTGAGAATACATCTGTGAGATCAGGACAAGTGACATCTGATGAAAATCATTCGACATATCGACATATTGACAGTAGTCCGCCTCCAGATTACGGTATTCATAGTGAAACTTCTGAGAATAATGATAAAGAAGTAAATATGGAAAGTCCTGAGAAACGAACAGCAACAGCAATTGATATGGATCCATACCAGAAGGTTGCATAATATCAAACTTCGGCATTTTGCTCAGAAAATTATTACCTAATAAAAGAAATTATACATTTGTATACTAGAATGATTAGAACGGAAGCCGATGGGCAAATAGTAAACGCATAATCTCAATAAAATTAATGCTTTAATCAAAAATTATTAAATTGATTAAAGTAAGACATGCTACATTCTGATTCTGATTCTTCTTAAAAAAGTTTTGGACCACGTATTCTTGCAATGAAGGCTTATTCAACTTCGAGTAACTGACAACTAATTAAGCTATAAAATTGAAACATATATGAAATATGTGAATGAGTAAGATTTGGTTTAATTTTTAAAGGCTCAATCAACACTGTCTTTTTCAGTCACAGTATCCTAAATCTGCAGTGCAGAGGCAAATTGCTCGACGTACATCAGGGGGCTTTGAATATACACAAAATCTGGATAACCATGCTACTACCGTATCAAATATGAATATTTTATGTGATACGGATTTAGCATGCTCATCCCAACAAGAAAAATCGGAACGAATTCAAACTGAACAAGTAGTCGAAAAGTTCGTCATTCAAAATTTTTAAATCAGAAACTATGTATAATGAGGTATCACTAAAATCATAAGTTGCCAAGTTTCAACTTTTTGATTAAAGGCATTTTTTACTTTTTAAAAGTACTCCTTCTTCCAAATTGCCTTCAGGCTGGAAGATGGCATTCTAAGCGCGAAAAACATTGCTGAGCAAAGCAATCCTCACAAGGTAGGTCAAGAACTGAGAGGTTGTTTGATCACTTCTGAAATAAAACGATCAAAATCACCAATTCAAATGCGTTTAACAAAAAACAAAAAGCAACAGCAGCCATCTCTAACTTTTGCGCAATCGCGGGCTCAACCAGATGACGTCATTGAGCAAGCACGTATTATGGAATCCAGTTTCGAACAAGGATTGCAGTCAGTAGGTTATTCAAGCGTGCATCAGTTTAAGTTTTCTTCCAGATTTAGGCTGCAATTTTTGATAATCTTTTGGTTGAATGTTACAGTGCAAAACCACTATGTTATTTCGATTTCTAATTTATTTTCCATATTTTCTTTTCAATGGAAAAGGGTAAGTCAGATGGATAAAGCATTGTAAGTTCCTGAAAATTAATATATTTGATGAAGTTCAGCCTCTGAGAAATTTCGGGCGAGTACTGCATGAAGACGAAGTAGAAGAGCAATCTCAGGAAGTACCCCAACTAGTTGAAGAAGAGGCAACAGCGACAAAAATGTCTACATCTGCCTTTCGAACACAAAACGGTTGAATTTCTAGATCATTTCTAGTTGATGTTAACCTTTTAATCTTATTGCTAAGTTATGTAATCCAAATTCATATCAATAACTTTTGCATAAAACCAAACTTAACAAAATATGGCTTATATGGCCTACATGAGTACATTAATTATCAGTAAATTTGTGGTATATTTTAATATGTTTGGTACATCGGAAGTATAATTCTCCTGGTGCTGCAGAGGCAAGGAGAAAAACAATTTAGGACCAGTTCATAACAAAGAATAAAATTAGGCTCCATGTCATAATACCGATATAAATAAATGATGAGCTGAGTTTCTCTCGGAAATGACTGAATATTTATCTAGTTGTAAAATCAGCTGAAATTTCTACTAAAGAATAATTGAGAAGTGAACAACTTTGAAGTTGGAAAGATGCACTCAATTTGTCTTAGTGGTTGTTCCACTAATTAATTAATTTATTTATTTATTAATGGATATTGTCATGTGAAAACTTAAACCCTCAAAATTCAAAACTTTAGTTTTCGTCAAGTAATAACTTAATTGATTTTGTAGAATGCTTTGATTCAGAATCAAATAAACAGAAGAATCGACTTGTTCGAGTCGCTCAGTACAATGATGGTAAAATTAGTTTTCAAAAATTTTATTTTTTCAAATAGAAACTAAAATTGTTCGTAACTTACGCCGAAAAACAAATTTTAATCAACAAAAAAACTGCAGGAATATTTTTAGCAGCAGGAAATGCTTTTACTGGAAGGTTATCAGAGACTGGTACTAATCAACATGACTATTTACTTGGTATTCAAGGCTCTAATCTTGAAGAAGGTCTAGAACGACATCCATACCAAATGGAACCTCGGTAATCATTTATTCAGATAAATAGCATTAAGAATAATTTAAGAATCCAGTACGGTATTGAAAATATTTCTTAAGTAGCTGCAGTTTCAAGTGATTTGCTATCATTAATTCAATTTGATTGAAAACAATCCGATAACTTTTTAAGTAATTGATGAATACGTATATGAAGTTACATAAATGCTTAATTTATGGGTAATAACTGAAATCCAAACACAGTTACATTTGCTACATCCTTTATTCGACACTCAACTCAGAGGATATATGAAACTTCAAAATGTTTAATTTTATTGAAAATGGAAAAGAACATGAAAAGTTGATAATTTAATATTTGTCATCTCCGTGCAAGTTATTATGCAAATTTTCAGCGTAAATGTAGCAGTGATAAATCGTAAAAAGGATAATTCGGCTGAGAGTAGAAGGAAATTGTTGAAGTTTCTTTGCTTTGTTTGCTGCCCAGTTGTTTCAATTATTGTGGTTGCCATAATATTAATTATGTTTTTTGCCCTTACTTAATTTAACTTGTCAAGGCAAGATTTGCTATGAAAATTTTTGCTATCATATTGGTCAGTTTTTGCTGATGACCAATTTGACTATTTTTCAGTAAATAAGCTGGTAGATTATTTCAAAGCAAACTAGCTTATCGACTAAAAGTTTATACATAAATCAGATAAAATTTGTGGAATGAATCAATTTAAACTCTTGAATGAATAATATATGGAAGGTATTTATTCTTAGCTAATAGACATTCAAAAAATTTTAGCTCCAAAAAACAATCTCTAATTATTATTTATCATTTGATTAAGGAGAAAATTTTTGCGTAGATTTGAATTTATGAATGGTAATCATCGCATGTAATTTGTCTAAATTTGGTGGGTAGAACTTTAAGTGTCCAATAAACTTAATTCAGTGCTAACAATCTTTGGATACACTGTAAAGCAAATATAAAAGTCAACTCAAAAGTTAAGCTTTAGAGTTTTGATAAATCAATCTTTGTAAAAAAACTTTTGTTGTTTGAAATAAAAATTTATTTGTTTCATTTCAATTTAAATCTCAGTTAAATTTATAAATGTAATAGAAACTGTACAAATAGTTTACTTTTAAACTATTTTAAACAATTGTACAATTCAGAATTTTTTAATGAAATAAATTTTGATTCTGTATTATATAGTTTTAATATGTTTTAAATAATAAATAAAAAATGCACTGATTAGATAATTTTACAAAAAAGGTTGCACGCGAATGTGAGAATCATTAAAGTTCGACTTATCTCTTAGGTTTCTCAACATACACTATGTGACTATCAGATGTTCCGTGAAGTAGTCTAACTGATTTTCAATTAATAAAATGCTTTCTAGCTTCATATATCATTGCAGTAAATAGCTAGTCATTTTTTATTCAAAATTAAAAGAGAATTATTAATTCATTTGTTTCAACTCTAATTAATGAATAAGGTGACTTACTTAAAAGCTTGAGGACAAAATAAGGTAGAAGCAGTTTGTGCCATTAAGTAAAATCATTGATTTCGTAAACTGAATTTTAATAAATTAATAGTTCAGGAACTATCCGTTAGCGATAAACGTTGGAGGTAAACGTGGGGCAAACGAAGTTCACGGGAGCAAGATCGGTAAACAGACTCTCGCAAACTATAATTGGCTCAACTGCTGTGTTTTTTTGCTTGCACCACTTTTCATCTTGTTTGTTATCATCGCAATCCTGATAACACTTGCTTTATTAGCATAAGTGTGCCGGAAATTTGCATAATTGCAGTAATATGCTAGCTATAAGTAGATTTATCTTGAAATATGTTTTTGCCTTCACTGTTTTTCAGAAAGCAAAACAAATGCTATGGTTTGATTTCTTTATTCACGCTCTTTGTATAGAAGTCACTTATAATAGTCTGATATCCTTAGCCTAATAAACAGTAAATTGTTCAGGCTTGATCTTTTGCCTTGATTTTAATGCAACAATTTGAAGAGATAGCAACTATTATACATACAAATTTACTTTTTAGTTGTTTATAAATTAAGTAAGTCTGAAGGAGACAAAAATTTGTCAAGCATTTTACTGCCCAACAATGATAGCATTTTTTCTGCAAGATTTCACATGCATTTTTTCTATTTCGTTTATCAATTGTTGAACATTTTTATCAGCAATAAATTGGTAATTTTAGCATTTGATAAAGTGCTGATGCCTTATTGCTCCTCATCTTAACACACTATTGTAATGAGGAAGACGACCTTTACTTGACATTTATATTTCAAGAGATTATAGATTCCATTAATGAGATCAATCAGAAGCACTGTGTTGGTGCTCAAAGCTGTGTATTTCACTGCTGCATAAAAGCAGACTGCAGACGGAAATGAGCAACAACAAACGACGTAGACGTATTATTATTACTAAAATTGTTATTAAATTTATTGCATTTGCAACTGCAAATTTAGTAATAATAATAGTTTTGTTTGGTAATAATTTAAATAATCTGATTTTGTTCAACTTTTAAGTACTCATTTGTGATTGAAATTTATAGAATTTATTGGCTTAATAATTCAATTTCGTGTCTGTAATGAAGTAATAATGTACTATTTTATGCAATCTACTCATTTCTCATTAAAACATTTATCGAAAGAACGCAATTCAGTTTTCAGTTTAGATCTGATCGAAAATCAAATACTTAAATGATTGTCACTGATTAAGTTTTTCAACTTGAGAGGTAAAATTTTAGTAGCTTTATGGTTACTTATTAATGAAGTATTTCAACAATACTTTTCAAACTCTAAATTAAGTTGTTATAAAAGTGATCTTTTTTTGTATTTATATGACTTAGTCTTCTGCCTAATTGTTTTCACTATAAGTGATTAGTCCAAAAAATTTTTGACTACTTTTATAACAATTTTAATACTTTGTGTAAGCTTAATTTTAATAAAACTAAATTTAAAAAAGCTTAAGTTAAATACTTATATCAATATTTTTTGGAAACAAACACTGTTTATAATTTGTCATTTGACTTGGGCTTCATCAGAATTAAGTAATAATTAGGAAAATCAAAAAGTTGTCGTCAGTAAATCAGTAAGTTTGTATCAAATTTCTGAAGCAATACATGAGAACTATATTTTTTGCTTTCATTGTTTCACTGCCATACAATAAATGAAAGAGTCTGTTAGAATACAAGCACAGTCTGAGAATGAAAATGGATGAAATTGTAAATTATTTGCACATTTAAATTACAGTTTTCTACTGAATACAAATTTGGATGATGGATTTGACATTTACTGCGAATTGCACTCATTCTAGTGATTTTCGTCATGATTACTAAATAATTACAAAGTTAGCTTTAATTAAATAGTTCACTGATTTATTGCCCTTCTTGCGTTATTTTTCACTGGCACCGACCATTCGCGAAAATCACTCATAAATTCCTAACTTCGTGCACTGTTTACAGACTTGCTTGAGTGTAAGTACTTTTATTAATCAAAAACTACAAATCATCAGTTTACTGTAATGTTCGCAAATATTTGTCAGTTCCAAAAAAGTTCAAAGTTTTATTTTGTAATAAAATTTTAGAAAAATTTAGTGTGATCAATTAAAAACATTTATATCTGGTATAATAGCACAAAATCAAATGAACCTTATTACCTTATGCATGAACTGAAACAAGTACAAGGTTTAACAAAGGTCAAAGTTTGACTCTTTTCATATTGAGGTCAGGTCTTGTACCGATTTTTTTATTGTGTTGTGCAGAGGTGAACTTTGATATTAATTCATCATTGATAATATTCACCGATATCTTGATCGCTTATCCATTCTATTTAAAAGGTTTAATTTCAAGATATTAGCAAGAAAATTAAACTAGACTAGGCTAAGCATAGAATAATGCCAGTTAAAACGCTTTTTTTCGGAATTTCAGATATTATAAAAATAACTTTTAAACTTTTTGTCATAATACTTTTTTAGTTTTTTAGGTATAATTTTGTCATAATCAATATCATACGATGGAGTTGACATCTGAATTGCGCACTAATAATACATTATTTGATCTGCTTATTATGATCACAACCATGCTTTTTGAATGATTTTGCTTAAAACAATTATGGGTTTCAAATTATTTTGTCACTGAGGCTCATCAGATGCAACTGATAAATCAGTTAGCATCTGTTAAGAAACAAAGTAATAAAATTCTGTGTTTGCCTTGATAAAACAAACAAAAAGTCTTTCTTGCAATTTTTTTCTTAGAATTTTTTCCTTGCAGAAGCAGTTTATTCAAACATTTTTTAAACATTACGCAAATAATTTTTAAACTTTTCTGTCACAGCACTCTTTTTTTTGAATACAATTTTGCACACAGTCGACACCCTATTGTGCAGTTCACACGTGATTTGCGTCCTTTTTTGACACCATAAAAATATTTCTTAACTTACACATCTGAACATTTCATTCTTATTACCTATATTTTAAGTCAAAATTATGAACAGAGGTAAAAGTTGTTATTTTATGATGTTTTTCATACTACTTTTATCACAGATAATTTACCTATCATGTCCAATAACTTTTTAATTGTATTACTTACCAAAAAAGTATGCCATTCAATCATTTTGTGAACAAATTTCACAACGTGTGATAAAATTCTGTAAGGCACTTATTTGATCTAACTCAAATATTTGCGGAAAGTTTTCTAACTTTTCTGAGCACAAAAATTTATAATGCTGTAAAAAGATTGCCTTAATGCTAGCAAAGTAGCGTTTTTAATGGCACTTGTGGATTTGTTCCCTTACTTTCGCGTGTTAATACTTTATTGTATTCTGAAAAATTCGTTATATTCGAAAAACAGAAATTAAGTAATATAAATGCACATTGAAGTAATTGGCATTTACATGTACTGCAAACAAGTAAAGAAAAGATTAAGGAAAAATGAGCTGCCAAATTAGGAGGACATTAATTTGCTTAAAATTAATTCATTAGACAGTACTGACAAAGTTTTTTATCAACTACAAGTAAACTTTTCAACCAAATCAGTCCAGCACTCTTTTTAAAATTAAATACAAAAGCATTTATATTACTTAATTTTGTTATTACTTGCCTTCCGTAAAAATTTACAAGTCTTTGCTTGATAAAATATTTTCGTAATTTGCGCATTTCTTCCCTTTTATAGCGAATTTTGTAAGAAGATTGACTAAAAATTCGTATTTTCGATTAATTTTTGTAATGAAAAACTTAAAGTAATGGAGTTTGAGTTACAAGTTTTAGTCTTCCGTTTTTACTTAATTATAATATAAAGTGTATTAATAACGTTAAATTTATAAGCGAGATTTCAGGAACGGATAAATAGTAAAGCACTAGTGCAAGGCTTTCAATTAGTTTAATTGATATTAAATCAATCAGTTTGTTGGAATTTCGGTCATTTTTCCAAAGAGGAAGAGGTATTGCAATATCCAGAACACTTCAACAATAAATGGCAATTGTTTCGCCTTTGGTATGACAGACAATAATCATGAATGTATTCTGAATTGGAAATGACACTTTCAGAAATCAGCTTGCAATGATTGAATTTATGAGCTGCAGCCTCAAACTTTATGAAAGTGATTTAATTTAAATAGGTTTTCGAATTTTCAGTGTATTGAATTTTATGAACAAACTTGGTAAATTTCTAAATCAAGAATTTAAATTTAGCAAAGTTTTGGTAAAGTATGTCTTTAATTCTTGTATGAAATTTAAAAGGCGACTAGAGTTAATAATAATAATAATTATTATTGTAGCTACAATTTTAATTACAATTGCAATTATAACAGCAGCAAGAACAGTTGGAAATATAATAATTAACGTACCATAACAAATTAAAGGCACTTGAAGATTTCAGAACTCGAACTCAGATGGACTATTTCATGCTTTCACAGACAATGCATCTGAAGATACTGTAGCAAAGAAAAGTGTGAAACTGCGCAAATGTACGCTAATCAGTTGGGCAATTATAATTCTTCTTGTCAGCATTGTTTTCATAACAACCATTGCTCTCCTCCTTGTTTGGAATGCTAAATGTCAAGCAAAGATAACAGCAATTGAAAAACGCGATACATATTGTGATCTGGGAGTATGCAATAACAAGTGAAATTTACTTACGTACTTACTTGCAAGTAACGTTAATGCAATTTTCAAATAATTGACTTGAATAACATTTAAAAGACGTAGAAGTAATACGAATTTTAGCATATTCTCTGAATCAATTTTTGAATTAGCACAGTGATAATTTGAAATAATACGTGGAATATAATACTTTTGCAAAGCATGAGGCAATTTTTTTGCTATTAATTTTACAGATTTCGAGTTCCTCCTTTGATTGTAATCAGCTTGGATGGATTTCGAAGCAGCTACTTATCACAAAACATCACTCCAGCGATTCAACGTCTTATTAGTTGTGGTACTCACAGCAAATATCTACTCCCGTCATTCCCTTCCAAAACATTCCCTAATCACTACACTATTGCAACGGGACTGTACCCCGCATGGAGCGGAATTGTTGATAATCAATTTTATGACCCGAATTTCAATGTAAAAGCAAAATTCATTCATTTAAATGCATTGATAGCCTCATAATTCTCATTTCTGAAGTAAACAGAAACAAATACCATTTGCATAAAGCAAGCATGATTAACGTTGCATTATTCTGAAATCATTGACGATAGAAATGATTTCAGAATAACTTCGAAAGCATTTGAGTTAATCTTGAATGCTTAAAAAACTTCTAAATCTATTCCTTCTGTTTTAATTCATTTGCACTGATTTCAGGAGTTTTTCAAAAAAAATGTGACTAGAAGCGGTTGGTTTTTGGGAGAACCGGTGAATATATTTCTTCACTTGCATAAAAGCGGGAAAAAATTCGCTCCAATTTCTTTATAAATAACTTTACAAATCACTTTGCTGATTATATGATAGTAAAGCTAATTCAGCCAAGTTATTGGATAACTGCTAAGGATGCATTTTATATTACAGATATGGTCAACTGTGAAAAGAGCTGGTCTGAAGTCAGGTGTATATTTTTGGCCTGGAAGTGAAGGCATCGGTGAGCTATTTTCTATTATTTCTTTCCTTTTATTCATTAATTAATACTAGCTCATTCAATTTAATTTAATTTAATTTAATTTAATTTAATTTACTTTCGATTACTTCTATGCAGAAACCAAGAAATGAGATAGAAATTTAATTTTCTTCTCATATTATTTATTTGTTCTGTACTGCACTGAATAACAAGATCATTCATTTAGTTTTATTAATTAACAAAATAAGCAAAATTCTGCATTCCAAAAATTAATTACTTTTTTTTGAATATATAACACAAATAAGAGGATTGAAGTGAAATTATACTTTTAAAAATTTTTATGGATGGTAAATTATACAAGCCTTAAACGTAAACTGCGAATGAATTTGTACATGACTAACTTAAACTTAGAATCTTTCCTTTTTCACTTTATTCATTAGGGGCTACCAACTTGCAGAAATATTTTTAAAAAAACTCATAAAGTACTTTATAACTCTCCCAAACAATCTATATCTTTTTACTTTATACTTTACGAACTTTACGATTTGTATTTTCTGGAATCGCTCATGCAAGTGAGTTAAGTTTATTTCAGTATAAATTTCAAACAGAAACTGCCAAATTTCATTCCGATATTATATTTAAGTCTGATTTTGTACAATAAATATTTCTTTCAATGTATGAAGCACTTCTTTAAATTTCCAGTTTGTCATTTAGTTCTTGAACCAAATCCATCGTCATAAATTCTTATTTATTTTATGCATTTCTGGAAAAAAACTAACAAAGGATAGTTTTAGATAATTTACCGACGTATTGGAAGACTTACAATTTTACAGTGCCATTCACACAACGTATTGATTCGGTATGATATTAGAAAAGTTTTTTTTCAGAAATTATTTTATTGACGCGAAATCAAAAGTTAAGAACACGCAAAATCATTGACTATTCATCTAACCAGTAAAGTAATAGAATGCTAATAAAATATGCAATTTTCCAATTTCCAATCTGCCATTATTATTGAAAAAAAAAGGTGTGGATGCATTTTCCACCTCAGTTTCTTTCATTTCTGCTCAATTTCCATCTAGTACTACTAACGGGGAATCATTAACAATTAGAAGGACAGGTAGAAAAATCCCTGCAAAACAAATTTTTTTTAATGCCGTTTGAAGGCAACAAATTTCAAATTCTGAAAAGGAAGTCAGCGATATGCGACAGTTTCATATAATATTTCAAGCGCTTCACAGTTTTATTTTACATATTTTGACCCAAAACAAGAATATTCTGAAGCTTTCTTAATTTGAAGTATTTAGTTTTTTACTCACTGCATTAGTAATTTATTCAAAAAATGCATTTAGCAAAAAATATTTAGCACCTTTGTATGATAAAAAATTCGTAACTTTCAGGCAATAGAATGGCTGAAATTGCCGGAAGGTGAACGGCCATCACTGGTGCAAATTTATTTTGAGCAACCGGATGTTGCGGGCCATTCTGGGGGACCTGAATCTGAAGAGGTTTTTCTGAATTTTCAAATGACTTGGAATTATTTTTGATATTATGATCTATTTTAACACAAGATTCAATTGCAGGTACTTCATTATGTGCTAGAATCTAATGTCATTTCTGACCATTGGATTTATCTTAATATCAAAATGCTGCTTGGATTAAAACTGTCCTAATTAGCATTTCCATACTTGAAAATAGAAAGCATTTGTCTTCTATTACTTGACGCAAGTGAGTAAAAGGCATAAATGATATCAGTTACTAGCGCATAATGAAGCAGAGAATATTTTCGATGCAGTGCAAATATTCACTGATGTATAAATGCCGATGAAACAGACTAACTCTCATCAACTTATAGAATACAACAGACAACTCATGACAATTCGATTTTCACTTCAGGTTCGAACAGCTATGATTTTGATGGATGGAATGATAAATTATTTGACAAAGAAATTGATCAGAGAGGGCCTTATGGGTTGTGTCAATCTGATCTTACTTTCAGATCATGGTATTTTTCATTTTAAGTAATTACTAATTATAGATTTAAAGTACTAAAAGTGATTATGAAATTATGATTTTTGTAACATGTTCAAAAGTTTCAAAAAAAATTTGTTTAATAAATAATTTGTTGTTTTTTTCTCATAAATTTAAATGTTCTAAAAAGTTTCAAATCAAGTTGAAAAGCTTACTGAAAAAAGTGTCTTGCCTGTATACCGAAGAAAAAGGTAATAGCTATAAAACAGTTCAAAAATTAAATAGTTCTTGTTTTCAGCAAAAAAAAATCATATTAAATCTTCTAATATTTTACAGGAATGCAGAAGATTGTGAAGTCTAGATCAGTTGTTACTGGAAATAACTTAAGTTCTAAGTTTAATGATATGTTTTTTCCTGGAGTGGTAGCTCGAATACAAGTCAACGAGAGTACAAATCAAACTAAATCAGATATCTATTTTTGCATCACTTTTAAAATCATATTTAAAAACCTTTTTGATAATTTTCTAAGCCTTACATTAAAGTGTAGGAGTTTCAAAATAATTGGGATTAATAAGGCTGGTAAAAATAGTTTTCGATAGTATTTGTTAGAAGGTAAGAAGAAGAATATTTCAGATGGTAATAAAGATGTTGATGAAATGATTTCTAATATGGCTTGTAAACGTGGTACTGATTATTTAATCTACAAGAAAGACTTGGTACCAATTAGGTTTCACTATGCGGGGTCAGCTAGGATAGGTGATGTTATCTTCAAAGGTCGTCCAGAAGTTTGCGTTTTCCTGTATGTCCTAGTTTAATCTCTAGATAATGTTCATATTTTTGTTTGGTCAAATATTTGCTTTAAACTATAAAGAATTGCAAAAAATAATTGTCTAGAATATTTAAATTCTTATCATATCAATAATGTCTTGAAAAGTTGGAAAAAATAAGATTGCAAGTATTATTTTCTGTAAATCACTTCAGTAATTTGTATAGGTTATGGTATTTAAGTTCTAGAAAATATTTCAAGGTCTGATTTGCAAGACCTATTTTTTATGAAGTAAAATATTTATTTAACAATCATAATATATGCAACTACATATTGACCAAATGCACAAATTTTGTGATATTGTATTATCAGTAATGGTGTTGTTATAGTAGAACTTATCTGTTGGATCAAATTATCTGACATTATACTGAAATTATAACAGATTTGAAGGTCCATTTCAAACAAATTTTCAGCTTTCTCAAAATATGGTTGAACTCAATTCTTAAAAATTATTTCCAGCTATTTTCATAGATCTTAATGAGTTGTTTCAGAACAGATCAGCAAAAGAATGATTACAAACTACTCGGTGATCATGGCTATGATAATCGAATTGTAAGTATGCGTGCGATTTTTGTTGCTATTGGTCCGGACATCGCGGAAAAGCGGGAAATCGATGATTTTCAGAACATAGAATTATATAATTTATTTGCTTGTAAGCTCATCACACTTGAAGATCTCTAAAACCTGTTAATAATTCAGCAAAAATAGCGGTAGAAATTCTCGCAATGACTGCGAAATTTTTTGAAAACCACAAAAATTACATTATTTAGGTCTGTCTAAAATGACTTAGCTTGATTTGATGCAAGATGGCATGAGAAAAATGGGTGAAATTTACGAGCTTGAAGAATAAATATAATCTAAACTGAGTGAGGAAAAGCAGTTTTTTGTGATAAGAAGATGAATCAAAAATTTAGCAATTTTCAAATAACCAAAATCTTTTAAATGTTAAAGGATTGAATTTCATTCTGACTGCTCATAATATTATTTAAATAATATATCTTTCAAAAAAAGCTTGCAACTTTTATCAAAAACTTTTTTTTCGGGAAAAAAGTGCAGATAGGGACAGAAATTAATTCTTACTTTTGTAATTAATTTAAAAAAATGCAGAGCTCAGCTGGTGACAAGTAAGTATTGTCTTTTACTTGCAGATTTATTGCGCATAGACGCAGCGCCAAATAATGGAACCAATGGTACTTTATTTAGTGTGCTGAGGAATCCGCCACCTATTCCAGAAACTATTTCAAGCGAGCCATCACTTCAGTGTACTAAACTCTCAAGCCTAACAAAGTGCAATACCTCACTTGATTGTTCGGTATATTTTTTGTTTAAATTTGGGCACCAACAAATTTTTACTTTTAAGTTACGTGAACGTTGATTCATTAATAATGAGTGATATAGTTATTGCTTTGCATTTCCTGCATTAGGTCTGAAGTATAGTAAAGATACGAATGACTTATAGACTAAGCAGATGAGAATAAAAAGCAATCTAATTTTAACTGATGCTATGCAAACTTTGTTTATAAGAATATCATATAATAATATATTATTATAATAATACTAAATAATAATATTATTATTGTTATGTATTAATCTCTTATTAGTATTAATCTTAACTATTCTTATTATCATTAGTATTGCTATTATTGTCATCATTTAGCGAATTACCGATGTATATAGAAATTGTTCTCAAGTTATGCAAAGTTCGGTTGGCTTTACGGAAGACTTCATAGGAGAACATTGCAATTTGCCATTCTGTGATGCACTCATACATTTCAATCAGGAATCGCAACAGACAGTTATGGTAGAAGGCATTCTGCGAAAGTCTACGTGGAGACTTGAACCCAAGTAAGCTTTACTTCATGAAGTAATTGACTACACTTTGAAAGGAACTTGTTACAGTGTCGCTAAGGTTACATCCGTTAATCAGTAATAATTATAATTAGTACTTGAAATAGTAATTATTGAAATTATTATTATTGTTTATGATTAAACAAAGTTATGCTTACAGAAATCGAAAATTTTATGCTTTAATCTAGTGATTTTTAAGGAAAACTTGCATGACATATTTTGATGAAATTCCTTCAATTCATTCCTGCGAAACAGCGCGGAGTGAAAACTTCACATCAATTTCTTTGTTTGCAAATATTGGTTTGCGTTTTCCATTCGGCTACGTTAATTAATGATAATATTCTTGGAGTAAAAGTTACACATAACTATTAATTAACTTTGAAGTGTTCGAAAATTTGAAAATTACTGTATTTCAGTACTGGTTATAAATATTTAAGCCACATAAAAAGCAAAACCAGTAATGATAGAAACTATCAGTATTTATTTACATACGATTACGAGACAATAAATGGAAAAGTGAAACTTTCACGTATTCTGCCTGACTGTCACAAAAAAAATCTTAATAATTTATTTTTTATATAACGAATAGAAAGGACAGTATATTCTATTGCAGAAGTCTATGACACCTTCGAGTTAGGACGAATTACAGTGCCAAAAAGTTTTGCTGAAGGTAATATTTTGATAGTGTGTTTGATCACACACAAAAGAAATGATCATAATTATTTCCATTCTATTCACTATTATTGCAGGCCAAAAATTAGTAATCAAAAACTAAACTTCATTTAAGCTTTGAAATTGAGCAGATGGAAATGAATCGGCAAGTATTTGTTCAAAAATTTTCAGGAATATGGCAGTACTTTCTAAATGAGACTTTCCAGTATTTATCCAGTTATGGTGATTTATTATTTTTTTCTGGTCCAATTTATGATAAGGATGGAGATGGCGTACGTGATGAGATAGACATACGTGAGAGCCACGATTTCATTAGGTTTGAAGTCAACTTTATCTCTTGAATTACGAGATAAGTTTGTATGTCAGTTGAAGTAGTTCAGGAAAAGTGTGCACTAAAAAGACATCCTTCATGCATATGAGTAAAATATAAAAGATGAAGTCTCAAACTAGAACGGACTTTACAGATAATATGTTGATTGTCACTGTTTTATTTCTGAATTTATAGCTTGAAATTTCAGCACGGCACAACCATCACATATATTTTTTGTGCTTATGCGATGCAGAAATGGTCAACTGATTGCTGCTAATAACTTATGCAAAGATATCATTTCCCTTCCATACATATTACCCATTCACGGAGAAAATTTAAATTGTTTGGTACTACTTTCGTTATTAGTTCAGGCTGAATCCATTGACAAGATTTATGCAAATTTGTCTTATTTTGAATTTTTGAAATTTAAGATCAAGACTATTGATGCAGAGAAAAATTTAATGCATACATCGTAACTATTTTAGTATTGTAATATACTGAGATACTGTAGCAATATTACATACATATACTGAAGCAGTGATATAAGAAAATGGAAGGAGGATTCTTCCTTTTCCTCCACTTTTTTATAACTGAGAAACCTTCCTTCTGTCAATTATTTCAGACAGTAAGCAATGTAAAGTCATAGTTTTTACTACTTTCAAGCAAATATTATTGGTGTTTGGCAGTAGATAAGAATGAGTTTTTTTTTCTTTTTTTGGCACAAATATGAAAGTTTAAAAAGTGATTGAACAATTTAGCTATTTGTTCAAATTCTAATAAGAATTTACCCACGTGAAATTACTCAAAAATCACAATTTCATACTTATTTATACTTCACAAGCGTTTCTTTACTGAATTAATCCAAAAATGCAAGTAAATTTTAATTCTTTCAAGTAATCTTCACATTGGCGTATTTTTGAAGCGGAATGCTGCACTAGAATAGTACAATGAATTATTTTGCAGAAGCCTTCAGAGTATCTGAATGATAATACAGTTCGCCTTCGTGACATCGAACTGCTAACTGGAACACAGTTTTTCACCGATCGCAATATTTGGTCAGCTGCAGAAGCGATTCAATTGCGAACTTCACTACCTGAAATCACATACTGATCATATCACTGAATTGGAGCACATATATGCACTTATTGTTATTATTTGTTAAATAAGTCCCAATTTTAGAGTAAAATAGTTTATCGAAAATTTGATCAAGTTTTACTTCACAGCTAGTGCAGAAATTAAGTAATTTGTTTATGAAACTTTTGCAAAAGTTTAATTTCCAATGCCTAATACACTCATACTTCTAATAATTCAAAAAATGCTTCAAGTAAGTGTTTTTTGACTAATTTTTACACGCATTTAATTCGAATATTTTTTCACACGCTAATAAAAGCTTAAAATTCATCAAAACAAACACATTGGTTATCGTATCATATTTTTTGAACGTCAAATGTGTGTTGCGTTAGGAATTTGAAATTTGCTTTGCAAACATTTTGTTTACTAATAAGTCTTGTGATAATCCATTCTTGACTGCTTAAAGGTCATCAGCGTCAAATGAACAATTTGTGAATTTGCGTCGAAATTCATGCAGTCTTTCACTTTACTTTGGAACATTCCACACGTTGTTGTTTACTTTGTCAGCTGCTTATTTTAAATTAAGGTGATGTAATAGATGATAAATAAACGAAGCTAATCAAAAGGTTTACTTATTTGCTCAAAAAACTTTGATGCAAACGGTTGTCCGCTTTACTTCATAATTTCAGTCTTTATTTCAATTTGCAACTACTAATTGGTTTGAACAATGCTTCGTAACTCTCAATATTTTATTAGCTCAAATGCACTAAGTGCAGAATCAAAGTATTGTATGGATCAACAGTCACGCCATGAGCACGAGAAAACGGTGAATATTGAAAATTAACCAAAGTTGGAGACCACAAATTCATAAAACCGTGACCTCTAGGATTTGTTCCATTTATTGATTACTTGCGAGGAAATTTCGCTTTTAATAATGCATAATATAAAAACTATCAAATATTATACATTTCTAGACATATTTTGCTATATCTGAAAGTCACAAAATACTTTTTCCGGAAAATTACAAAAGAAAATATAAATAATGGTAAAGACAGAGTGAAAAAGCAAAGTATAAAACGCACTGCTTGAATGTCACTATAAAAATTGTTCAAATGCGTAATCATAATTAACACTTATATGTTTGGAAATAAAATCTATATAGAATCTCTGTATGTATTGAGCGTTATTGAATAGTGCCATTATTTTTCAATAAGTTAAGCGTTTTTGAACTTAGCTAACGAAGTTTTTCTTATACGTGAGAAGTAAATTTTTCAAGAAAAAAGCATCAGCCAAGGCAAGTAAAAAACTGCTATACGTAGGTAAAATGCGTTATTGTCGGTGATTCAGCCGTTGGCAAGACGACACTACTCAAAGTACTAATTAATGCAGAGAAATTACGCATACCTAACAAATATGAGCCTACTGTAAGTACTGGTTGGCTAGCATCATTTATTGCATATTTTTGTGCTTGCGCTTATAAGTTCACTGAAAACTTGAAGAAAGTCAAAGTATTGAGAAAAAGCATTTTTTTCAAAATTAAAAATGACATGGAAAGTTACATGAAGGCGATTCTTCCGAGATTCGGTATAAAATTCTTGAAATATTAACTGAAACATTTGCAAACTGTCAAACGTATAAGCATTCGTTTTTACAGATTTTTGACTTTGAGGGCTATCAATGTGCAGATAAAATACTGGAACCATTTTCTTTCAAAATTTATGATACATCTGGCAAGGTTTCTATTACATATGTAAAGACAGTTTTTCAAAATTAATGATATAAATTTAGAATAGAATAAAGCTCCAGAAGCTCTGAAACAAAATTTTTTCCTAACAATTACCGAATTCAATGATAAATTCTGAAGTGCTGCTATTGTTTGTTACCACACAGAAGATCTAAACCTCAAATAAATTTCTTCTTCTGGAAAGCAAGTTTTAGACCAAGTAATGATGCATTAATTGAATACTTGCGGTCGAGGAACGTTATTAATGTGAATGTCGAGAAGTAGATTTCAGACTCGCTATGATCGTTTGCGCCAATTAACTTATCTTGACGTGAATGTAGTAGTGATTTGCTTCTCGATCGATTCTCGAAAATCATTTTGGAACGCTGAGCATCGAGTTTCGTAGTCTTTCGAATCACCTTATCCTGTATTCTTAATATATATTTATTCTAAGATAAACTAGTGGAAACAAAGTGCTTTGCAATTGAAGAAGCTCAAATTAATATTTGGCACAAATACTTTTTTACAAGAAATTTGGAAAGTATTAAAATACAATTTCAATTCAGTTTGATTAATTTTGAAACTGAAATTTTAAGTTTTGGAAAACTGATTTTATTCATTTGTTTAAAAAATGTACTGTGAGATATTTGAAAGTTATGTATTTTCTAAAGATCAAAGCTTTCAGTGGTATGATGAGATTAGATATGGCTTTTGTCCCAAGAACGTACCATTTGTCTTAGTTGCAACAAAATGTGATCTCCGAGGAGATTCAAGTACTGTAGAAAAATTGGAGAAAGAGCGAATTAATTTAATTTCCACAGAAGAGGGAAAAAAGTTGGCAGAACGTATTAATGCATATGCATATAGAGAATGTACCAGTAAAAACCGAGTAATCCATTCCAAATTTTGATGAAAACTGAAGTAATGATTAAAGAGACCCGTTGAAGCATATCAACTATTGAACCATGACTCTAATTTTTCTTCCTCATGACCTCTAGGTCTTTCGAGCTTAAAACTAAGCAAATGTTCAAACAAATACTCTAGTATAGGGAATAATAATACGTGAGCTTAGAATTTAAAGAAAAGCGAACTATCGCGTTTTGAACCATAAATCTTTCATTGCATCTTTTATCGCATTTACAGGAAAGTACTGTGGAAGTATTCCGTCAAGCGTTAAAGGCATATTGCAGTTTTCAGCATCGCTGGGAAGGCGAGCATATTCAGAAATTTAAAAATTCACTCAAACATAAATTAGAGCTTTACAAAATTACATGCGAAATCTGTTGAAATTGAATCATTAGTACTAGATAAAAAATTAATTTACTGCTACAGAAAATTTGTCGAATCTTCAAATTGATTGATTACAATTTATCTTGACGCTTTATGAATACGCATAATTTTTCATTCCGTAGCCATTACCACAAATTTACAAGTAACAAGTCAAATTTTTTCTGTTTTGAGAAGCTGCGATGCAAACATTCTCAGTGCAATACTCAAAATACATCAGTGATTCACATGTTTTGCATCTAAATTTGTGCCTGCGGAAAATAAAAATTAAGCAAACGAAAGAATTCAGTGCACACAAAGTCATGTGACTTACTTTTGGCAAAAATAAAAATGAAATTTTTGAGGAAACAAATCAAACATTGTTGCTGTGATGCATAAACAATCATAACATAATAAACTGTAATCATAACATAAATTATCATGACTAAGATAATTTAGTACTCTGAGCAAAAGTTATAGTTGTGCTTTCTGTGATTTTAAAAACTTTCGAGGCTTTTATGTTTATGAAATTATCAAATTTTACTCAATCCTATTATTTGATAGTAAGCAGCAAAGACAGATTAGCATTCCAAAGAAATTTGAGTAATGAATTATGCTGCAAACTTAAAGAACAGTTTAGAGATAAGCTATATCTGAATGCCCAAGTTGGATCAGCTTTTGTCAATACTAGCTAGCTCAGTTCTGATCGTTTCAAGTCAATATAGCGATTAGTTGATCGAATTATGTTTTCACGTGCTTACTAAGTTGATTAGGAATTGACTACTTTGCAAGTTAATTTTCATTTACTTGAGTGAACTCTTCTGATTTATTTTTATTTCTGATATTATTTAATTTTCAATCTGTCAATTTTTTCAATTTAATTACTCTGATCGAAAAATAGCAACTTATTAAATAATTTCCAAATGTGGAATAAAAATGAAGAATATATATCAATCATTACAAGCCAGAAAATGATTATTTTGTCAGTACTGTAATGTTAGTGTCAATTGCACGTGAATAAGAGTAAGTCAATTGTTTTTGCTTGTTTTTATTTGTGACGTATTTACGTCAGCAAAATATATGCTTGATTTGCTAAGTGAAAATGAAAAATTCATCACATTTCAGTGCAATCAACCATCCATCTTTTCATGCTTCACTTCACTTACACATTTTTCATTTCTTCACGAATATTCATCTTTTCTTTGCTTTCCTTTCCCTCTTCGCTTGCCATACAAAATCAGTCAAGCACTCATTCGTTCATTTCAGCCCATACAATAATAACTGTAAAATCATTTCATTCATATTCTGTCAAATATTAAACTGTTTTTCTAATTATAATATAATATTATGATAACTCTCAAATTATAATTTCATTTTTTTAACCTTCTAATCACATTAAATTCTTATTTTTCAGAAAGCTACAAAAAACTTTTGCTTTTCTATTTATAGTGAATTCGGTATTTTTTTGCTCATATTAAGAGAAAGAGTGAATAATTGTAATTATAATAATAGAATTTTAAAGACTGATGAGATGGGAAGTAATTTTTATACATATTAAGTTATTTACTGCTTTCTAAAAATAATAGCAAATATTTACTACCTAGTCTGTAACTCTCGTTCATGACTGTATCAAAATCATTTTCTAGGAAAATATTACTCTCAGTGATTTTGTCCAATATAGATTATCAGAATCTGCTTTCTTCAGATGATCATAACCCTTACTTCCACTATTATTATCTCATCAGTTTTTTTCCAGAGAATTAATTAATGACGTTGGCTGTTATATAGGTGAAAGTTAGGCATAGTTTGTTATGCAATATTAAACCCAATTTTAAAACATTACTATAATAAGAACATGATTACTGGTTATCTAGCCGTTGGTTATCAGTACACAAATGTGCTGCTTGGTTAACACTGAAAAATAATCAAATAATTTAAACGTTTCTTCTCTTCTGATCGATTGAAAGCGATCATTTCATTTCTCTTTTCACGTTGTTTTCACTTATGATATTTTCTAATGATTAAATAAACTGTTTTAAAAAATGTCAAAGATTTAGTTGTTTATTTTTCTCACTTTGTATACTATAGTAGATTTGAAATTCAATATCCACCTGACTCTTTGAAGTCTTTGCGAGCACTAACTTAATTTTTCCGTCACGCAGATGAGAAGGCTACTTGTGAGAGAAAAATCTGAAAATTAGTACAGTCTCTAAACTCAACTAGCTTCTGACCACTTAGGTTATAAACTTTTGTTGGTAAAATCAGTTTGTAAAGTGGAAAAATCTTAATGTGATTTTTAAAAGGAATAAATTTTTAGTGTGAATAGATCGCAAATTTCTATTACTCACAACAAAATAGTCTAAGTAATATGAAAATGCAAACACTTTCCGGTAATTGAGAATGCAAATTTCTTGACTAGAATCGGGCGACAAATGTAATTATCCTTGTGTAGAGAGGTAGCTAAAGATGAGACTCGAAAAAATAAATTGCCAAGAAGAACATACTTGAGAATGCAGTGGGATAAAATTATAGATGGAAATTCTCAAGTTTGCTATGCAAAATTGCTATTGGACTGCCGTTACTACTTTATGCTTTCGGATATATTCCATTACTTTTATTTGCTAACGTGACTTTTACTTGAGAACGTGCTTCTTGATCCCCATCCTTTCATTCTGAACCGCAGAACTTCTCTGATTGAAAAAGCTACAAAACCAAACTATCACTGTTTTCCTTTCACTTAGTAATTCGTGGCACAAAATTAGAAAATTCATTGAGTGTACTCATCTATTTTAATTGTTCTCGATGTATTTTATTACTATTTATATTAATTATTAAGTGCGACTTGCATGAGAGCATACTGCTACAAATGTAAGCATTAGAAGATGAAAGTTTCTTCTTCAAATTCATCGAAAGCAAAACTGTTATTTATTAAGTCCTATTGAACAGTATGCATGAATACATTGACTGCATGTGGTGGTGGACAGAAACACTTATTTACTAAATGTCATTTTGAAAAAAAATTTTGAGAGAAATATTATTAGTAGAATACTGCAAAAGCACGCAAGTAAATGTTATGAGATGAGTTTGACTTTTGAATGAGTGAAAAAGTGCAGTAAAAAATTGATACACATAATGTGCATTCGTTAGCGATGCATTGTGAATCCGGTCAAAATATTTGAAAATTCTTGGCAAAATTTTAGAAAATAAAGGGACTTTGCTACTTTATTACTGCATTTCGAGATAACCTCTTCCATCTTCAGAAAGAATAAACTTCTGCTTTGACAATATGCATAAAATAAATTTAATAGCTGTAATAAAAGCATTTAGAACTATATTATATTCATCAAATGTATTCTAATTCGACAATTTCGCTCCAGTGTTCACTTCCAACATTTGATATCGCAGAAGCACTCTATCTTTGGCTTTAATGAACCCCTGTTTTTACTGTGCGGAGCAACAATTAGTTAAGGTCAAACTTTAAGCCAATTTATTTAGTTATTGATTACTTGAGAGAATATTAGTCATCAATACAAGTAATTCTCTATGATTCTTTTGGAAGTTATCGGTGGAAAAATTACAGGCTTGTGAAACCTTTGAAAAGCCTATCCTAGAACGATAAAAGAACAGAGAAATGGGTAAGTTATATAGCCAAGATGAAAAAAGCTAGCAAAATCTTGAGAGCGAGGATGAAGAGAATGAGTAGATTTAATTATCTCTTCAGGCTTATATTCATCGAGGCCATGGCCAGGCAGAAACAGCAATCACCTAAAAAGGCTTGGCTCTTTTTGTATTCACTTTTCCTTTGTTGATTTATTTTCGCCCTAAAATTCTTTCTTATTTCACAGATTTTTTGCTATTTCTTTTTCTCTCAAAAGTCAGCTCGGAAGATGCCTTGGACTTTTACCGGCCTAAGAGTTATTGCTTTTTGACTTTGCTTTTGGCCACTTTTTTGCCAAACTACCAATACTTTTAGTTTTTTATTGTCATTTGTCACATTTCATGTTGAAATGATTGACCACAAACTACTGCCTAGCTTGTTTACTTTAAGGTTTGACTAACTTGTATATGAAAAATTTGAATGATCTTAGTTTTGGGTATGCTTTTTCTGCTAGTATTCTTTCACCCACACTGACAAGGGAAAAAACAGATTTCTTCCCTTGTTAATGAGTACTATAAAATTAAAGCACATTGTGTAAGTAGTCAATCTTTAATGAAAAAGTAAAACCAGACTTAATTGTATTTTTTCTACCACTGTTTATCGATATGGATTTGTTAAACTTATCTGTAGGCAAAATAAAAAACAGATGGCTGTGATTTGAGTTTCAAAAATTGTCTGAGGAAACAGATTTTTAAATTATTCAATATGATTAGCAAAATTCAACTAGCAACTCATACTTATGTACAAAGCCAATTTGAAGTCTCTAGCAAATATCCACTGCTGTTTGAAGTATTGTTCAATCTTATTATCTACTACTGACCTGTAACGTTCAAATTTTGATTCCAGTAACGTTGTCATGCTTTTAAATTTTGTGTCACAAATAATACAGCATATCATTATCAGGACTCTTTATTCGATGACTCTCACCATTTGTAATTCCAAAACAATTAAAATTGAGAAATCTTAAATAAAAACTTGTCATAGAA